TTATTATTTTTTAAATATCTGCATATGTTGAAAATACTATATCTTGTTGAAGGTTGTTCAAGTACCTCCCTTTTTAGGAAGTAAATCATAAACAGAGGGGGCATGGAGCTCTCACACTCAGACATGCCCGGCTTGTCTCCTTGCTCATACTATGGAACTTGGATGCAGGACATTTCTGTAGCAATGACCGAACAATGTGACATTTTCATATTGCATAGAAATGTGTGCAGATGCTATGAAATGGCACAGCACTACTTCTCCATAAAACTGACGTGAGGCTAATGTTAATGATGCAAAATGAGTCCAGAAGCCATGATGGGACAGTAGCTGTGTCTTTCATATATATTATAAAATATAACATTTCTAGGCACTCCTGTGTTTTAGTTGAAGAGAAGACTTTAAACCTTGTTTTATCATATTTGGGTGGTTTTGGCGTTTTATTTTAGATACAGAGCTGTTCTAAGAAGGGTCAGCAGACCCAGAATCACTGTGGGGTTACATTTATAAGAAGAAAAAATTAGTGATCATGGAGATGGGGATATTGGCATCAGTTCATGAGTGTGAAGTTCGTCTGATCATTTCAAATGGTCCAAATTAAAGTAGTCATAAGTTCAAAAACCAATAAATTCAGCATCCAGACTGGGAGAGGAACCAAACCTCTTTTAAAGTAATCGCTCTATGTTGAGATCAAGTTGTCAGTGACATGTTGCAAAAACCTTCTGTCTTAACACACTATTTGAAGGTCAAAGGGCACCTAGAAGAATCTGTTTGCGTCATACTGAAAACCCATCATGCCCAGTAAAAGACATTTAACAACATGGCAAATGGAGTTTTATCCTCAGCCTCCCCTCCTCTAACTCCCTTCACGTGTGCATATGAATATCTTTACCTTTCATTCGGCAGCCCCCCTATATGGAATTTATGACTGTGATGCTGGGGTTTGAGCTCTGTTATGTATCTGCAGAGACAGCATGGCCACATGCACTGGAACCGTGCACCGCTCTCTGGCCAGACAAACGGATATCTTTCCTCGGGGATGCTATAAATCTGGACTTTATTTCTAGGAGCGCTGCGAAAGAGAGTGCCTTGGAAAAACTCGCTCTTTTCCCTCTTTCTCCACATTCTGTCTTCAGAGAGGTTTTGCAACCGGGAATGTGATGCAGCCATTAGGCACTTCTCTCCTTGCAGACACGTTGTGATGCCTCTCCACACAGGGGGTCATTCTAAGTGCAAACATGTCCTATCTGGAAGTGTTTATCTAATAATGACCCCATGACTGGCTGCACATGTGAGCTTGTCCAGACTGAAACAACGTCCACCTTGAATGTGAACATCTGGGGAATGATGAGTGGTTAGGTGTGTCTCTGCTATTATGATATTAAGCACAAACGTCTTCACTCTCAGTCATGCTAAACTTCAAAAACGTAAAGTGTCTTTCTCACAGTGTTTAACGCCTTAACCTACCCATACATCCTCGCATTTTAATAACCGACATCTTGCGTAACAAGTGACACTGTTTGTAGTACATATTTAAAGTATCTTGGGTAACGCAGCTTCATCTGAAATATCACTTTCATAACTTTAACAGTTAAGCTACTTTTCTTTTCATGCTAGTTACATTTAATTTGTTTTCATGGCTTAAGCTATGAATTGATTAGCTGACAATTTAGTTGTTTTCAGTTTTTATTGCTTAGGCTTTAATTGAACGCAAACTAGCAGAATGACAGCATGTGGCAATTCAACTTATTTTAATACTTGCCCTTAAAGAAAAAAATACTGAATTATTTACTCCCAAGCGTCAGTATTGAGCTGTCACAATCTCTGACCATAACAAAAGCTTTGCACTCACACTGAATGCGTGCTTATTTTGGCATAAACCCATCATCCCTAAGCTTTGACCATCAGAACCAATTCTCACTTCTCTCATTTAATAGATGAGTTTTGATACTTTAGTGGTTTCCTCAAAAAGCTCTCGTTCAATAGAAACACAGTTGTAGTCAGAAATTTACAAACCCTCATCATGGGCGTCAATGTTTTTCTGTGTGACAGCAAAGATGTCTTAAATTTCTATGTTCACTGCCATTTGTTCCAGTTTCTGGTCTCTATTCAATACCATTCGTTTATGTGTTTTAGGCTGGTTTATAGTCTGCATGTGAGCATTTACAGGAGCAAACGCAAGCTCCCACAGAGTTTCTAAGGAGAGTAAATGGGAATTGTTTTCTGTTTCATTATAACATGGATTTAAAAAGAGTTTAAAAGAAGTAAACATAGTGAAATTAAGCTTAAACACATTGATTTTTAAATTAGGTAATCAGTAGCAGGCTTAGGTCGGCTGATTTGTTTGAAGTATTAAACAATACTCTGTTCACATTCCCCATATTTGATGAAATAGTTT